AAAAGGTGGAAACCCACATGTGCATCAATAGATGAATGGATAAACAAAACATGGTACATACATGCAATGGAATACAATCAGCCACAAAGACGAATGAAATTCTGATACATGCTACAACATGGATGGATCTTGAAAATAGTGTGCTAAGTGAAATAAGCCAGATGCAGAAGGACAAATGTCTGATTCCATTTATATGAGCTACCTGGAACAGGCAAATTCACAGAGACAGAAGGCAAATTAGAGGCTCCCAGGGGCTGGGGGGAGGAAGAACGGGGGAGTTACTGTTTAGTAGACCAGTTTACGTTGGAGATGATGAAAACATTTTGAGTATAGATAGTGGTGATGGGTACACAGCATTGTGAATGTAATTAATGCCACTGAATTATACACTTAAAATGATAAAAGATTGTTATGTGTATTTTATCACAATTGAAAAAAAGCTGTTAACAAATTTGAGAAGGACATTCCTAGGCCAGAGGAGAGTTTACAATACTGGGCAGCACTCAGGCCCCAAGTGCACACCAAATTCAACTCACTGTTCTGCTTGAGAGCAGCCTCACTTGGTGGGGTTGGGGAAGGGAACCCAATGGACCTTGGATCTAACAGCTCCTTGGTTTCCTCTCCCATTGGGATTCCCAATCATCCCCTCATCATCTTAGCACCATGGCATTTACTGCTTTTCACCCTGACTACTGCAGGAAGCACACATTACTATACTATACACTTATGTCTCATTTAACATTCATTACACCTTGTGATTTAAGGATTATCAACCCATTTTTTTGGATAAGGACCTTGATGCACCAAAGGTCACCCAGTTAGTACATGGCTGAGAGTTGGTCACCACTAATGAGTGCCCGTCGCCAGGCCCCAATCTTCTTCCACACACCTGCCTCACCCCTCAACTCTTTCCTGGTATGGTTTGGGAGTGATGACATGCACTGGTCTGGGAGCTCTGGGGCCTGAGCCCTAGTCGAGGCTGTGCTACTGTGTGATCTTAGGCAAATCACCTTCCTTAGCAGAGCTTTTGTTTTCTCATCTGTAGGATGGCACTGCTAACCTGTCTGCTCAGCCCACTCACGGAAGAGTTGTGAGATCTCAAAGGATGAAAATATGCTTTATAAATGGTTCATATTAAATTGTGTCAGTTATTTGAAGCTTTAGCTTGATCAGTTACCAATATGTGGCATCATCACTGATCATCAGGAAAAACTTTCTCCGCCATCACACAGTTAACTACTCAGTTAACTGTTCCCTCGTGTAAGAGGCCAGCCACTTGGCTCGACTCAGGTTCCAAGGTTTTGCCTGGCTACCAGCTGGGGTTTTCTAGCAAACTTCTGGGAGAGAAAGCCAGCTCTAGGAATAAGGGAGCCTCTTGAGTTTACATAACTTTCTGAGCCATGGAACCAGAGCGAGAATGTGTTGATTCTGGCTGCTGATGGTGCAGCCAGATGGGGCAGGAGGAGTTGGCTCGAAGCTTACAAACAACACACTGTTTCTGTAGGGAAGAGTGTGGTTGCCGTTTGCTTTCTCTACTGTCCTGGGCTCTCTTCTTGCTTTTCCCTCATTAATGTCTTGACTGTTTAACTCCATACCCCCAGTTCTGATGACAAGCCCTTGAATCCAACTTAAGGGGCCTTGACACCTTACTGTCCGAATCAGTTTCTATCTTGTTCATCCCACCTCCAAAATCTTGAGCCTGTCCCCTCCTCTCATTCCTGCAGCCCCTGTCCTAGTTAGGTACACCACTGCCTTTTATTTTACCTGAGGTACTACAACTGCCCTTTACTGATCTCCCTGCCTCTGGTCTGGTGAGGAACAATCCATCTACACAAGATACCTGAGTTCCTTAACTTCAGACAACTCCCCATTCTTGCCACTCAAGGCTTCTATGTCCTGCCTTCTGCCACCTCTCCTGTCACAGCCTCTACTCCAGCCACACTAATCATACTTATCTCCCAGTTCTCAGATTGACTTCCAAGCCTCCTGGGCTTCTGCATGCTGTCCCTCTACTTGCAATGTATTTCCCTTCCTTCTCCACCTCCTCTGTGATGATGCTTCAAAGCTCAACTTGAATGCCACCTCTATTGTGAAAGTTTCTCTGACCTGTTTGCAGAGAAGTTTGGTTGTCCTCTTTGCCTTTGCATAACGTGGTCCCTCCAATGGTCTCTAGACTGTGAGCTCTTGTGAAGGGCCTCAGTATGTATTTATCTCTGTCTCCAAAGTCCACTGGAAGCTTGGCACAGAAGGGGTGCTCAAGTTTGCTTAATCAGCAAATAAGTGCTCATCACAGCAGGTTTAAAAGAATACACCACCAAGAAGACATGCCCAGCTCCCATCATGCCTTTGGCCTGAGTCCTCTCAATCTCAAGATTCTCCTCTTACTATTAAATGTCTACCCCAAAATTTGCCTACCTTCTTCTTTCAGGAACTTTTCTCCTTGGGCATTTTTCAGTGTGTGCATGTGTATGTGACAGAACGGCCTTTGGTTTGACCCAAACGTGCTCCTTCTGGCTCTGTAGCAATCCTTAGTTCAAAGGGCCCAGGGGTCTTGTTTATTCCCTTCCTGAGTTTATAGTACGGATATCTAGTCTTCACAAGGACATTGTTATGGCCAGCACATAGTAGTAGGTGCTCATTAAAGATATGTTGTGTGACATATGAATGGCTTCTCTGAGGTGTAGTGGAACGCTCAGTAGACAGAGATGCCACCCCCTCCTAGCTGTAGCTGTGGACAACACATTTCACATTCCTGAGCTTCAGTTTCCTTGTCTTTAAATTGGAGATAAAGGATAAAGGAGATGTAAGTACCTAACACAAAGCTGAATGAACATTTCATTCATTCTGTCTCCATCCATCAGGCCTGAAGACGCCTCATCTCCCTGATCATCCTCCTCTTGCTCTTTTAAGTCCAGTATCTGGACCAACTTGACCTCTGCCCAGGATCCCTATACTGTCCAGGAGACAGCATGAAAACAACCTAGGTTTGAATTCTGACACTGCCACTTCTGAGCTGTATGAATTGGAACCTGTTTGGCTACCCGTAAAAGGAATTTACCTCATAGGGTTGCTGTGAGGGTTAAATGAGATGTATGTAAAGTGAATTAGGTGATGCCCAAAATTTGATGACTATTACGATTTGCCTGGGGAACAAAAGTGGCTGATGTGTGTCCCTGAAAACCACGCATGTGATCATGCTGCCCCCCTGTGGACAAAGGGCACACAGCCCAGCAAAAGGACCTCCAAAGGGCTTGGTGGGAGAGCTACCACACACAAGGCACTTTTCTTCTCTGCTAGGGAGCTCATGCTTCACCCTGAAATACTTAGTGAACGTCTAAAGGAGAACCTCTCAGAATTAATGTGCTTGTTAGAGTACAGATCACTTCTTACTCAGTAGGTCTGAGCTGGGGACAAAATCTTTAACAAGCTTCCAGATGATACTGATGCTACCGGTCCACAGACCACTCTGAGTAAAGGCCTTAAGTATAATATGGGAGTGACATGACAGGAACTTTTTATGAAGTGCCTCCCCTGTGCCAGATACTGAGAGAGCCAGTTAACTGACATTAACTTACGTAGTAAAGACCCTGTGGGTGGGTACTAATGATCTTTTCAGATGGGGAAACTACAGCACAAAGAAAGTACGTAGCTATCTCCTACAATCTGCAAGAGCAGGGCCTTGGGTTCTAATTTAGGCAGCCTGGCCTAAAAGCCTTCTAGGAAGAGGACTCCAACAGTGTGTAGAGGATGACCAAGGGAGGGGCTTCGGCAGGGAACCAGCAAGGGTATGGAAGTGACCTAGCTGAAATGAGGCCTCAGCTAGGGCAGGAGCTAAAAGAGGGGACACAGAAAAGAGAATGGACAGGGTTTGGTGGTAGACTAGATGTGAGTGTAAGAGAGGTAGCTGTCTAGAAAGCTCTGACTGTCTGGTTTGGGCAACTGGAGCAATCGTGGTACCATTTACTGAGCTAGGAAACGTGGGAAGAACAAGTTAGTTTTAGGGGGAAGATGAATTCAGTTTTAGGAATGGTCAACATGAGTAGCTGTTGGTCATCTGGGAGAGATATGAGGAGGTAGATGGACCTAAGTGTCTAGAGCTCTGGAGATGATCTGGGCTGGGGACAAAGTTTGGGTGTTGGCAGATGCAAGGCCATAAGGGTCTGAGGTCACGTGGACAGTACACAGGCTGTCCTGTTCTGGGCCAAAGCTGACACAACAAATAATTTGAAGAGATGGGACTGGAATCTCGCTGGCTACAGTGGGGGTTGGCTCTGTTCATTCCACTGGGCATTCTGGATCTGGGGAGAAGGCAGAGCATATGATGCTGGTGGGCTGCAGGAAAGGGGTTTCTGGGGCTCTATGGCGACTAAATCCAACAAACTCAGCAGAAATATGGACAACTCATAGAGAAAGTCTAGATTGATAAAGGTTGGGAGATATTTATTTTCTTTCACAAGGTCATAAATAACAAAGAAACAAAGTAGGTCCCAGACTCCGGACCGTGCAGCAGGACAGGGATAGGAAGTTGTCGGGTGGAAAGGTGGAGGGGGCTACGCATCACCTAAGACAGTCACAGAAAAGATGGGCTGCAGGAGACTGCCCCTCCCTGCCCTTGGAAATGTCGTGCCTGGGCAGCAGGGGGAGGCCGCAGTGCTGTGATGAGGCAGCCGGAATACGGCAAAGACGGAGGATGCTGGGCTGTACTGCTTTCTATGAAGAGTGACATGGAAACCACAAATGGCAAAGATAAGCTGTGGGTCTAGAAGAGGCAAGCGGGCACTCTGCACACCTCCAGGGACCAGTTATGAAAATGGTTAAATTTGATTCTTAAAAACAACTCCACAGGCTTCAACCTGTGGCTTTGTGCATGGGCTGTACTTAACCTGGGTTGCTCTGTGGCAGGTAAGGGCTCAAGAGGCCCCTGGAGCAGCCTGGCCTCAGCCCAGGGCAGGTGCCCAGACATGTGGGAGCGGGACAGTGGGCTCTCCCCAGATGGGAGGCCATGTGCTTGGACTGGCTGGACCTGATTTTCAGGCTAATTTCTTGTGATGCTATCCACCACCCCTCCTTATACCTAAGGATTGGATCCTGGACTCTGTAAGTCTTCCAAGCCTGGAAGAGTAAGACTGGGATAAAAAGGTACCTGACTGGTGTTTTATTTGAAAGGGAAAAATAAGGACTACCCTGTGCATGGTCCCTCCCCTGAGGGAGGGAGGACCATGCAAGAACAATTTCAAGGAATGGAGGTCCCTGAGCCTGGGGGGGGACATTTGGACCAGGTGCACTGCCTAATGCCAGGAATCGGGGCCCAGGGTGGAAGTTCTGATGGAGACTTCACCCTAGGTAAGGCAGGGAGAACAGGCAGGGGCTCCCCCTGAACAGGGAATGGGGAGGAGCCGGGGAGCTTTGGACTAGGGAGGCCGATGTCATGGTCACAGGCCCTGGAAAACAATGCTTTTGGCAGGAACACATGGAGGGGCTTATACATCTGGGGGTGCCCGTCTATAGGGAGCCGGTGTCACATGGTCGGGCAGGATGGTGAGGAGGAGACAGCGGCATCACAGTGGCCTCTGGTGCGATGTATTTACAACAGAGCTCAATGCTGAGGGAGGGACGGACAGCAGGTCACTAACAGCCAGGAAACACACTGTGAAGAGTGGAAAGAGAAGGGAAACCAATGTGACCATCATTCACTTTCCCCCTGCTCACCCCGTCTCCTCCAGGAAGCCCTCCTTAATGACCGCCAAGGCCCGTGCAGATCTGAGGTGGCTCCCACAGCCCCATCGAGAGTTAGACACAGGGTCTGCTCTCTGTACTGATTTAACCAAAGCTCCAAAGAGTCCAGGGGCACCTGACACTGCTTAGTAAGAGAAATTAAGTCTTTACTGTTGATTCCTGAGATCCATCAATGGTCAGTTGCCTGAGGGTTGGTTCAGCGTAAGGGAGTCATTTGTGTGGCTCACTGTGCCAGGCTTCTGTCATTCCCACTGCCTACCCTGCCCTGTCACCCTCACCTCCCAGGCCCTACCTAGCAATCCGAGTTCTCTAATGCAGAAGCTATTTGTTTTTCTTCACCATTTCTTCTTTAAACTTCCTGAGGGTGGGGAACAGGTTCCCTTGGGCCCTCACCAAAATCAGATAAGAGACTTTCTAACTGGCAGGCGTGACTCTTCATCAAGTTTGTGGGCTCTCTAAGGATTAGGGGCCTTCTATACAGATGCTAGTCTCCTGCGGTGGGGCCAAGACCATGTGGTTTGGGTCACCATGCCCCTCTCTCTTCCTCCTCATCCTCAAAAAGCCCACCTGTGTGTCCCTAATCAGATGGATAGCATTCTGGGATGAGAGGCATCCTTTTTTCCTCTAGACTGGTGGTTCTCAACTGGGAGTGATTTTGCCTCCTTTGAGACATTTGGTAAAATCTAGAGACATTTTTGTCTGTAAGTGTGTGGGGGTGCTACTGGCTTCTAGTGTGTAGAGGCCAGGGATGTTGTTAAACATCCTACAATGCACAAGGCAGCTCCCACCACAAAGGATTACCCACTTTGAATGTCAGTAGTGCTGAGGTTGAAATCCCTGCTCTGAATCTCTACAGCCTCTATGGCGGCCCAGCCTTCCTCAGCAGCAGGGCAGAAGAAGGCGGACGGAAGTTCTCTAAGAGCCTGGAAACAGACTGGTTCCCGTTTCAGCCTCCTCAGAGAAGGGCCACCTCAAGAAGTGCACACTGCAGCGGGGAGCTAGGGGACGAGGCACAATTTGATTTCAGCTCAGCAACACCCACTGGACCAGAGCACAGAGAAACAACCGACAATGGTGCTGTAGAAACACACACGCTGGGCTGTGTTGAGGAGGAAGAAGGAAGGCATGGTGACCCAAAACAGGCAGGGTGAAGGCAGACATATTTACAGCCTTGCAACTATCTTCTTGTTGGAGCTGGCTAACACTGCGGGGCTTTTACTTCCTTACCACTGGAATCCACTGATGGACTCTGCAAACCTGTGCCTGATCAGGAAAGTGGCAACAGCTTCAGCTACCTGGAAAAGAGAGAGGTTCCAGGTCATATGCAGGTTAGTTAGCAGTAGGGCTCAGCCTTGGAGGTCCTGTGGGCTTCTGTTGGAAGGTTAGGCTCTTAGTGGACTCAAGGGTCCTACAGGTCTTGGGAGCTTGCAAATCAAAAGGACCCGGGTCCTAGCAGGACTAGGAGACTCTTCCCTACCATCCCTGCCAGGGAGACCTACTGAGAAGTCAAGGAAGGATGTGAAGGCTTATTTATCCCCATAGAGTTAACAAAGTACCTTTTTCTTACAGGGGGAACACGTTTTAATTCCTGTTACTATAGTTTAGGGAGCAGTTACTACCCCAATTATTCCTTTTCCCATCTGGGTTTTGGGGGTAATGGAGAAGTAGAGCTTCAGATCTTAATTGTAGGGCCTTGGGATGAAATAGCAGGGTGTCACTAGCTCCTCAGCCCATATACAGAAAGCCAAGACCACAGGCAGCTGCCAGGGAGAGGTTTGGGGAGCTGGTGGAGTTGCATCTGTGTAGGCCCCACAGGCTGACTCACAGGCTTGTTCTATCTTCTGTGCGTCTCCAGGTTACTTCCTCTCACAGTTGTTCTCAAAACTCTGCCATCAAGCACTGGACTCACCTTGTCTGGGGCATCCTCATGGACTGCGTGACCACACTGAGGTAGGACCTGCATCTGGAACTTCCCTGGAGAGGAAACAAACCCAGGTGACCTCAGGGACTAAAAACGGGCCACTCCTTACCACCTCTGCAGCTGCACAGGACACTCTAGGAACCTCCTCTTGCCTCCCCCAATACTCTGGACCCAGTTACCAAGTCTTTGAGGAAGATAGTAATACTTGTAATTGTAACCTTGGGTAAATCATTTTCCCTTCACTTTTTCCTTCTGCAACTACTTAGTGTGCCTTTCCTATGGGCCAGACACATAGGAAGAAACAGTTTCTGTTTTCAGGGGATTATAGTCTAGTGGGGGAGCAAAACACAAGAACCAACATTTGAATGCAGCATGTAGTTCCTATGATTAAACTGAGCACATGAAACTGGAAGAACATAGGAAAGGGGGTTTCACAATCAAATAGGGATCCAGGAAGGCGTCCCATGCAGAAAGAACAGGGGTGAAATGTTATTTGTTCCTGGGATAAAAAGTTTGGCATGGTACTTTTGAGAATTAATAATGAAGCTGAACAGGTAAGCAGGGTCCATACCATTAAGGGTTCTGTAAGCTATGTTAAGGATTTTGAAATTTATTATGACAGTAATAAGTTACCATGTGAGTACCTAACTATGCGCCAGACACTGAGCTAAGCACTTACTCATACTGTCTTGTGGAACACTGCAAGCTCACAACTAATGTGACAGCTATTAAGAGTGAACAGTGATGACCAATAAAGCAAAATCTATAAGCAGGCTAATCAATTTGGGGCCCCAAGTTCCCACAGGTAGAGAGCAGACTCTCAGAGCCTCAGTGTTTCATTTACAAAATAAGGGAGTAAGCTCTGAAAGTCCTTCTGGTCATCACATTCTGTGATTCTTACCCCAGTTACACAATGATTTGAAATTTTTTCAAACTACTCTTCTATCCATTTTTAAAGTTCATTCTCAAATCTACCCTATACAATTAAGCAGGACAAATACTGAAACTCTTTTGAGATGATGAAACTAAGGCTGTGATTAGTGATGTGATTTGCCCAAGGCGGTTTAATTAACACAGGAACTAAGCCCATTCCATTCAGTAAGGCCCAGCTCATGCCCCTCTTCTTGCCGTAAGCTGCCCGGTGCTCAAGGCTATGCCCCACTCCCTCGTATCTCCTAATGTTCCAAACAGAGCAGTCTGTGCCCCTCTTGGATTGTAAGCTTATATTTTATATGCCATTGGTGCTTGCCTCCCCAGGAATGTGTCATTTCTGTAAGAAGAGGGACTAGTATCATTTCTTGCTCTATATTTCTAATATGGCCCAACACAGGGCTAGACATTGAACAAGTGCTTGCAAGTCTTGGATGAATGAATAATTGAAAGAACGACCAGATAAAACTTACCACTCCAACCACCCCGGGCCTAATGACTAGGATGTATTTTTCATTCCTCTGTAGGAGAATGGGTCTAAGGAATCAAGGGGAACTCCCGCATACTAAAACACTAAGTCCAGTACACATAAAATGACATGATCATGGATGATCCTCACAATTATTCTGTGAGGTGGGCATATTTCCAATCCCTTAAATTCAGAGGGTTTGAACCTTACAGATGAGAATCTTAAGTTCAGAGAACATAAATTATTCACCCAAGTTGCACCATGAGTAAGTGTTGCGTTTCCAGGATTCTATACCTAATTCAGCTGGTTTAAACACAATGCTGGGAAGGTGGTGACTAGGAATCTGTGCCAACTTAGCCATTCTCTTTGTTTTATGGGATGTCCCTCATCCCAGCCATTTACTCTATACTCATGGGGATACTTTGAAAGAGAAGGTGGTCTTGGCATAATCTTTACTGGGGAAACAGGAGGGCATCTAATGAGGAATCATGAGTGCTTCCTGGACATAATGAAGCCATCATTGGTCAGACTCTTACTTCACTCGTGTTTTCTCACTTAAACCTCACACAATTGTATTGAGCTGTATCATCTCCATTTTATAGATGAAACACTCAGGGTTAAAGAAGTTAGCAATTCACTCAGGTCACAAAACCAGTAACAGTGGATTTAAACCCAGGCCTACCTAATTCCAAGGCTGATGATCTACTCTAGTTCCAAATGCTATTCCAGTCCAGATTAACTACTTTCAGACAGTATTCAGGGCCATGTTTCATTCTTCTCTCTGCCCAGCATCAAGCATAGGTCTTACACAGAAAGAGTGCTTAGGAAAGGTTTGCCTAAATTGAATTTAAGGAAAGGTGTCTAAGCTCAGAATTACCAACAACAGTGCCATGAAAATCACACAGTCCCAGCCCATGGTCCTGCTCCAGGCTTTAGGACACTGCGTAGTTGGAGGAAGGGAAGGGTATAAAAGCCTGGGGCCAGAGTTTGATAAATCATTCAGGAGCCTCTGCACAACTGCTGTGTGGGGATATAACCCCTTTCTCTGTGGAGAGCTTCAAGACAGCTAACAAAACAGTTTGAGGGGCCCATGAAATATCCAAGTGGACATGTCCCAGCAGGTTTGATACATGGGCCAGGTCTGGAGCTCAGGAGAGAGGTATGGGTTGGACATTAAGCTTTGGGATTTACCAGGGAATAAATAGAAGTCATTTGATTGCCCTCAGAAAAGAAGGAAGGTCAAGAACAGAATCTGCTTAAGCCTGAAATGTTGGCCTTAAAGTGGGCATCTCTTCTTCCCATAGCCCAAAAGTTGCCAATGCCAATTGACTTCACCTACACCAAGCCTTTCGTCCATACTAAAGCAAGAACTCCACGAAGTTGGTCCCACTGCCTCCATTGTCATCTGGCCAACATACCTGGACCTGAGCACAACATATTACTTTCCTACTCGTTATGCCTCACAGAGCCTGTGAGGCTGCCATCAATTTTCTCATGCTATAGACTGAGAAAACTATAGCTAAGGCAGGTTAAGTACTTGCCCAGTTCAAAAAATCAGTGGGCAAGAAGCAGTACTTAAATCCAGTTTTCCAAACCTCACAGTTCTTGCTTTTACCACCTCACCATGCTGTCTTCTAAACAGAGTTTACACTTTTTTGTATCTAGATTATCTCGGACCTTTCCTTTTCCTAAGACTTCAAACAATAAAAATACTGATCAGTATTCAGAATATTTCCTTTCACAATATTATATACCTATAGAGTACTTTACTGTTTCTAATGCCCTCTTCAAAGACATTGCCTCATTTTAGTCCTTACAACTCTGAGACACAAATGGAAGTATAATTCTCATTTTTAGAAGGGGAAAAAAAAAATTGAAGCTCAGAAAAGGGAAGTACTTGCCCATAATCATATAGTGGGGTCAGAAGCAGAGGTAAATGCCAAATTTGGGTCTAACTCTAATGCTCATGCTCTCTCCATTGCACCTCATCATCTCAGAACATTAATTTCCACATGACTCTGGCTCCTTTCTGTGCCCTTAGAGTAGGATCTAGGGACATAATTTCTCGATGTCTTACCTTGCATTTGGCCAATAGTCAGATCTTTATCCAATCTATCGACACCTAGAGCAAAATAAAAGAATCCATAAGCATCTTACTAGAAAAGGCCGTGTAAAATAGGTTTTGCTGTTCAAGTATGAAATAAAAATTGTTACAAAGTTGTAAACACGATGACATTCTTAATTCATGTTAATGGTAATCCTAACTCCCTGAGGGTATAGTCTCAACACATGAAGTTTTCCAGGCAATAACTATACTCATTTAAACTGGTTTCTGAAAACAGAGTTTTATTTCCCTTATACTCAGAATATTCTTACACCACTCCAGGAGAAGGGCTTGGGCTTGACCAGGTACAGAGGCCAGGCCAGAATCAGGTCACCCAGGTGGATGCTTATGGTTCGTTAGGTTTAGGGCTTTGGTGTAGGGAGGAAAAAGGGCATAAATGAGTGAGGATGGTACTTCACCTTGGAAGTCACTACCCATTTGATAAGTAGTTACATATAACAAGGACATATTCAGATGACAATATACCCACATTGCTATGGACTGAATTGTGTCCTCCCCAAAATTCATACGTTGAAGCCCTAACCTACAATGTGACCATATCTGGTGATATAGGAGTAATTAGGTTAAATAAGGAAGTATTTAAGGTTAAATGGGGTCATTGGGTAAGGCCCTCATATGACAGGATTAGTGTCCTTATTAGAATAAACCAGAGAACTTGCTCTTGCTCTCTCTCTGCCATGTAAGGACACAGTGAGAAGGAGATTGTTTGCAAGCCAGTAAGAAAGCTCTCACCAGAACTCGACCATGCTGGTACCCTGATCTCAGACTTTCAGCCTCCAGAACTGTGAGAAAATAAATTTGTTGTTTAAGCCACCCAGTCTATGGTATTTTGTTATGGTAGCCCGAGCTTACTAATGCATGCACATACACACTTACCAGCCAAGAGCAGCAACTTAGGAATAGGACAACTAAGAAAGAGATTGGATAAGCCTCGGAACCATCCATCCCAGTATTTTTCTGTTTTTGCCAGTTCAATTCTCCAAGTGTATGGATGGTCTTTCTTGGTCTGGAGGAATAAGAGCAAGTTCTGAGTCTCTGAGTGCAACCCCTGGAGGAACAGGATAAAAACTAGGTCCCTGGGGAAAGGAAAGGGAGGGAAGCTAGCACTTATTAAGTGCCTACAATGTCCCAGACATTTTAATATACATTTAATCCTTATAACAGCATTGTGATGTGACACTGTTGTTATTTCCATGTTTAGATAAATAAAAGTTTATTTTTACTTGTATTAGTTTCAGTGAACTTAGGAAATTTTCTTAAGATCACAAAGCTAGTAAATGGTAGAGCCAAGACTGAGTTTCTTTTATACCTATTTGGCAAAAACAACACACCATCAAAAGGATAACTACAAGAAAACACTGTAGTATGAAAAAAATGCTTAAAATATTAAGTGAAAGAAGCAGAGTACAACATGTCATCTAAGTTAGGATTAATACTGGGAAAATGCAGTATATTTTGGGAAAGAACTGGAAGAGAAAACAGAAAATACAATGATTTGTTGGTAGAGATTTTTTCCCCTATATTTTGATTTATGATAATGATATAATATTTCTGCAATAGTAACTTAAAAAAGGAAATCTGACACAAATACGACAAAAATTTCAGTATCTGTTAAGTCTCAATATAAAGTAGATGGATGGGCAGGGTATGCAATCATCCAATGCAAACTGAACAAATAAATGATTCTCTATACTTTTCTGCATCATTGAAAATTTGAAATATTATAACTGAAATAAATAATTGGAATACCGCATCAACCACAATATGAAAATCTAGAAGTGAACACGAGACAACAACATATTGTTAAAGATCACTGGATGGTTAAGATGTGCATACTACCCAAAGCAATCTACAAATTCAACACAATCCCTATCAAAATTCCAATGGCATTTTTTTCAAAAATAGAAAAATTAATCTTAAAATTCATATGGAATTTCAAGGGACCCTGAACAGCCCAAACGATTTTGAAAAAGAAAAAAATTGAAGAACTTACACTCCCTGATTTCAAAACATACTTACAAAGCTACAGTAATCAAAACAGCATAGTACTGGTATAAAGACAGACAAATATACCAATGGAATAAACTCGAGAGCCCAGAAATAAACCCTCACATATATGGTCAAACGATCTTTGATAAGGGTGCCAAGACCACTCAATGGAGAACGAACAGTCTTTTCAACAAATGGTACTGGAACACTGACTATCCATATGCAAAAGAATTGTTACATCCCCAATCTCGTACCATACATAAAAATGAATTCAAAGTGGATCATAGACCTAAATGTATGAGCTTAAAAGTAGAAAACGCTTAGAAGAAAATATAGTCATAAATCTTTCTGAGCCTGGGCTAGGCAAAGCCTTCTTAGATACGACACCAAAATTGCAAGCAACAAAACGAAAACCAGATAAATTGAATTTCATCAAAATCAAACTTTTGCACTTCCAAGAACACTATCAAGAATGTGAAAAGATAAGCCACAGAACAGGAGAAAATATTTGTAAATCAGGGACTTGTATCTAGAATATATAGAGAACACTTACAACTCAACGATAAAAAGAAAAATAACCCTATTTAAAAACGGGCAAAGAGGGCCGGCCGAGTGGTGCGATGGTTAAGAACTGGCTTGGGATGCCAGAGGTCCCCGGTTCGGATCCCACATATGAGGGCCAGTGACACTGCCCTCTACAGCTAAGATGCTGAACAACAGCTCAACCTGGAGCTGGGCTGCCATGAGTCGCCAGCGACGGCATAGGCTGCAGCCCCTGTGGCAGTGGGTTGCCATGGGCTACTGTATGTAGCCAGCGTGAGCGGCCAGCAGCCGCCGTGAGCGGCCGTCCAGAAGCCGGCGACTGATCTGCCTCGCCCGGGAAGAGCACAATGATGGTGACAACTTGGGCCAGTGAAGCAACGTCCTCCACAACTAGACTGAGAAACAAAACGACAGCAACTTGTATGTTCCCCTTCCCCCAATTCCCCAGCACTGTTCCCATTCCCCCAATTCCCCAATTAAAAAAAAAATCTTTAAAAAAAGAAAATGTAAATCAAAACCACAATGAGATACCACTTCATACCTACTAGGATGGCTATAATAAAAAAGAGAGACAATAACAAGTGCTGACAAGGATGCAGAAAAACCAGATCCTCATACACTGCTGGTCGGAATATAAAATAGTGCAGGAATTTTGGAAAACAGTCTGGCTGGCTGTTCCTCAAATGATTAAACATTGAGTTACCTACCATCCAGCAATTCCACTTGTACGTGTATACCCAAGAGAAACAAAAACCTACGTCCACACAAAACTTGTATACAAATGTTTGCACCAGCATTATTCATAATAGGCAAAAAGTGGGAATAGCCCAAATGTCCATGAACTGATGAGTGGATAAAAAAATGTGGTCTATCCACACAATGGGCAAGATCTTCATCTCTGAGTCTGTTTCTGCACTGTTAACATGAGAGAAAAGATCTCCCTTCACCTTTCAGAGTGTTGGGGCGGGGGAGGGAGCAAATTGATCAGGCATTATTTATATTTTGTGAACTCCAAAGATGTACAAAGTGTTATTCACTGATCTTAACCTTCCATCGGGAGCAACTGATCTCACAGATTCACTGCACACAAAGATGCTGCTATGGAATACATCTTTACTGTAGTAAGTCACAAACACAACTGGCGATAGGTTATGGTACAGGGGGAAGATACGGAAGCGCTGAGACATGATACTTAAATTAACTGTTAGATATTTGAAAATTTGTGTGCAATGAATCTGTGAGATCAGTTGCGCCCAACAGAGGGTTAAGGATGACAAGAAGATCCTCATTAAATTAAAAATACTGTTTAAAAACTGTACTCTTCTCCTTGCTAACAGTAACATCTCCAAATGCAAAGGAATATGTGGCATACACCAAGTCCATTATCTGCCATTAGTTAGATTTTATAATCCATCCCAGAAAGTCTGCTGGTCATGCTCACTAATCATTTCCAAGAAAAAAGCAGCCCTTTCCACTAGTATCCTCAAATCAATTGCTCAGCAAGTACTCACAGAACACTTGCTATGCACACAACCCTGAGCTAAATGCTGAGGGAAATTCATATAGAATATCAGATCCTACCTTCAAAGTATACAGGTTATTTTTGTTGGGAGATAATTTGTGGGCAATTAGAAGACACTGAATCTGCATTATAGGGATGATTACCAGGAGATTATAGTATCTTTGAATGTGGCTTATGAAAATAAGTTCTATAAGTTAGCTATAACTGCAAAAAACAAAGTGCTAAGTTGGGTTATACAGACTCTCAGTGTAATATTGGAGAGAGACTGACATGAACTGAGGTCAGAAAGCTTCCCCAAGACACCTTGAAAGGTGGGTAAAATCTGGATGGGCTTAGCATAGACAGTTATGAAATGGGATTTTCCTCCTGAGATGAACTACAGGAACAGAAGTACAGAGGCGAGAAAGAGCCTGATGAGAGAGCAGTCTACTTAAGGGTAGGGTATACACTATGAGTTTTGTTTCCAGTCTGTCAGTGCTATCAACAAGTGCTTTACATCTTATAGCTGACCTAAGTATCTTTGTGCCCCTAAAATGTCTAACGATAGACAAAAAAAAACAATGTCACCTCCCTTTCCCCATCCCCACACACTCTGAACCATTTCCTGCCTCCTTCCAAGAATGGGCAGACCTCTACCTACCTCCATGTCATCTTCCTTTTTCCTCTTGTTTACTGACTCACTTCCTTCTTCATCTTCTTCTTCTTCCTCTATGATTCCTTCCACTATAGATTTTGAGCCTTCTGGACTTGTAATTCCTTCACACCTAGGATTTTTAAAAAAGTGCTATCACATACTTCTATTCCATATACAAATATCTCAGAGATTCTGATACTTACGGCCTTTAATAATCAAATGTTAGTTAAAACTTAAAATGCTCCTGGGAGGAGGATGTGGAAAATGTGCATTTTTAAATGTACAAAAGTAAACCAGGGCTGTGGAAGGTCATGGCCAATATATTACGGTACTCCGAGGGTCCAGTTCTTGCATACATACTGAACCATGGAAGGGAGTAACCATTTCCTGAGGCATGGTGACAAGAGTTTTACTGGTGTTATCTTATACAATCCTCATTACAGTCCTATACAGTAGCCCTGAAGAGTTAAAAAAAAGAAAAATGGTTCAGGACACCTAGCTCATGAGTGGGTGAAGCTGGGAGGCAAATCCAGGCCCAATTAACGCCGAAGTATAGTGCTTTTTTACTGTACCCTGCTTACAGCAGAACAAGGCTCAAACAGAATGGTAAAAGGCCCCCACTTTTCAATTAGCTGATAGAAACTGACAGTTTACATAACCATGCCAGCTGAATCTTGGAGATTAGAACATCTGGTCCAACCGATTACTGTTATTTTTCCTCTAAAAAACAATATCTCTTTATTATGTAATTAGGTAGAAAAATTATTATTATATGAACAGCTGGTACCATAATTCCTTTTAGAGAGAACTTATTGGAAAAAATACACTGACAAGTGCTAAAGGTAAAAATCCCAAGGGCCTGGGTAGCAGCTAGTGCCAAGGTCTGCTCTGCATGGTAGAGAAGAATTTGTTATTCTGCCCTTGAAAGGGAGAGAAAAAAGGGAGAAGAGGAAAGAGAACAAGCAACATAAAAAGACACTAGGATAAACTGAAGGTCAGTGAATTCCAGTGGTGGATTTTTAAGAATGGTAACATCTCTTCCTCTACCAAACCTCCTGTGAAGTGTATGTTCATAAATGTTTTGTTAAGTGGGGATTTTCTATGGAACTTGAGGTACCAAGTTCCACATCTAGGCTGAAGAATCATAACAAAGAAACAACATGTGCTTTGGGTTTCTACAGCTATGGATTGGGAGTTCAAGAGAATTTCAACCAGATCAAAAAGGGCAGAAAGGTTCCAGGTGATATCTATGTGACAATTAAAACACATATACTCTTATATATACAGTTTTACATATTAAGAGAAAATACCACTTAAGTGTACAAATTAAGTAAAATTTAAAACTCAATGAACTACCTGCATATAAGCCATGTAACTTCCTTATAAAATGCTTTACCACTGCTTAGACAAGTCAGATCTCAAAATATTTAGGCATTGAAAAATGGGCAATTTCACAGTTTATTCAAGGCCTCTGCATTGTGTCTGCCAGATATTACTACTCAGATTGTAATATAGGCCTTGGAGTCAAATACATAGAAGTTTGAATCTGAGCTCTGTCATTCATTAGCTGTGTGATCCTGGGAAAATCAATTTACCTTTCTGAACTTCCATATCTTCACCTATAAAACAATACTCATCTTAAAGAGCTAAGAATTAAATGAGATAGTGCAAATGAATTAATGAATCCAGGTAAGGATCATCAGTGACTATCAACATTCAAAAAAAGAGACAACCAGACATTAAGTGCTTCCTGATGACATTAAACAAATTAAAAACAAAGTAACAACAAACCAACCTGAACTTGATCAAATCTGTAGACCTAACAATTTACAGACAATACATGGAACAAAGAAACATGTTAAATTACACCTTGAGGGGGCCGGCCGAGTGGCGTGATGGTTAAGAACTGGCTTGGGATGCCAGAGGGCCCTGGTTCGGATCCCACATATGAGGGCCAGTGACACTGCCCTCCACAGCTAAGATGCTGAACAACAGCTCAACCTGGAGCTGGGCTGCTGTGAGTCGCCAGCGACAGCATAGGCTGCAGCCCCTGCTGCAGTGGGTTGCCATGGGCTACCGTGCCAGCAGCCAGCGTGAGCGGCTGTCCAGAAGCCGGCGACTGATCTGCCTCGCCCGGGAAGAGCGCAATAATGGTGCCAACTTGGGCCAGTGAAGCAACGTCCTCCACAACTAGACTGAAGAACAAAACGACAGCAACTTGTCTGTTCCCCTTCCCCCAATTCCCCAGCACTATTCCCATTTCCCCAATAAAAATCTTTAAAAAAAATAATAATAAATTACAGCTTGAGTAATCAATCAGCAAATTCAGATTGTGGGAAATTCTACAGGGCAAACAAGGTTTCCTCAACACGTAAATTGCAAGGAAAAAAAATTGAGAGAGGTAGAAGTGGAACCTATAGAAAGCATACTGAAATCTTACAGAGGAAATTGTGCTTGTCTGGAATTTGTTTCAAAATACAGTAAAACCTTGGATTGCGAGTAACATGGTTTGCAACTGTTCTGCAAGACGAGCAAACATTTCTAATACATTTTAACTTGGTAAATGAGCGATGTCTTGCAATACGAGTAGTTTGTTTCTGAAACAAATTTGCTCACAAACCAAGGTATTACTGTATTGTGCTTAGGGGAAATAAATAGGGGCACAGATGAAACAAGACTGGTCGTGAGTTGAAAATGGGCAATGAGTACATTGGGGTTCATTGTGTTATTCTACTTTTATATGTTTGAAAATCTTCTATAATACAAGGTTGTAAAAAAATGTGATAGTATATATAAAATACGCTGTACAGTGCCTGGCAAATAGCAGACATTCAAAAATGTCATTATCATTTTCATCAACTCTTGTGCTACCTGTCTGTTCCATTGGGCAACATTTTCTCTATTCACCTAAAGTTTATTTTGTGACTACACAGCAATCTAGGACTCATGTAATCCTATCCAGGAAGATCTGCTGGGCCAAATAATCTTAGCTCACCCTTAGAATCTGGCTTTTGCTCAGGCTATGCTAAAGTTTTTATCTTATAATTTCCTCACAGTCAGGTTTGGCTTAGAAGAAGACTGTTACTAGAATGAAACCATACGGTCAGCACTAGAGTGGACACTTAATTTTTAATGTCCATTCTCTGGGATTCCTCACCTTTAACACCCAGACTTGTGCTCATAAAGTAATCCAGTATTATATAGAAGACACTATTTGGTCTTGGGATTTCCTCAAAAAAGAAAAAGAAAAAAGGAAAGAAAATCTATACAACTATCCCGACTGAACTCACTTATAAAAATTATCTAAAATAATGAAGGCAAGGATGGTATGTGACAAAAAAGCAATCTGTAAGTCCTTCACTATGCTTCAGTCTCTAACTAGCCCAGCAAGGAAAAATAAGACCTACTGTTTGACTTGGCCAACCATTGAGACACGGGCAGACTCCAAATTTCGAATTTGGCCACTCTTCACACTAGAAGAGAAAAGTGAGAAGAGAGAGAGGTTATTCAGTATCCATCTTATCATGTCACTAGGGTCAAATGAATAATTCTGCAGATTCCGTGGGACCTATTAAAAATTATGGTTACCAATGTAGCGTATACGAGATTACCACTACTTCCCACTTGGTTATTATGGCTATAACCTAAGTAGTAAAAATTAAGTAAAGACATTGAAGCCATTTCAGTTCTGCAAATATTTACCAAGGATACTATGTGTTAGGACTGTGCTTGAGAAGCACATAATTCAGTGGGGAGAAAGGAACACAAACATAATTTTAATAGGGGGAGTGTGACAGAATAGAATAGGCAGGCAGGGGCTAGCTCCTAAAGGGCCTTACGTGCCATGATATAGAGCTCAGGAGCTAAGACTCTACCTTAATAGATTAGGTTTCCCAGAATTGTCTACGTAAGTATGCCTAAAGGCTAAGCAAAACGACTGCATGTTCCGTAGGGAACTGGCAACACCACCTGAAGCAGGTCTCCAGAGCACGTTTCTTTAAATCTCATTTTTCAGCTTAAAAAATCAGGTAAAAGTGCACCCCCCTTAGATAATGATCGTTTCTTCTTTTAATGATAAACAGAAGCAAATAGAACTACTATTTCCTTTTTATACCACTAATTGAATCTACAGTATCTATAAATCCACCAGTATTTATGACCATATATTCTGCCCTGATGACTTTAGTTTCATATGTGAATTATCTCTGTTCCAGTTCAAAGGCAACCTTGGTCACTGGTTCCCATCCCCTTTTGCTTATGAGGGCCTAGTTTCCTTTAGTTATCCTGTCTCTCTCCTATGTCATTTTTTTTTCTCTACTGGATATTATAAAACATCCTTTAAAAACATTCTCTAGCCTTTGAAAACATTCTCAACCCAACATTCACTAGTAGATACTGCCCCATTTCTCCTCTCCTATACAACAAAACTTAGCGAAAAAGTTCTTGCTTGCTTTCTTTACTTGATCACCTTCCATCCTTTCCTCAACTAATATCCCCATCTTAATAACCGTTTTTATCTCCCACTTATTTTCTGAGATTTTCTTTGCATAGTCACCTCCATCATGCCAATTCTAATGGTCATTTCTTAGCCTTCACCTTCCATGGTCTCTCAGCATTATTTGACACAGATGCTCTGTCCTTCCTTCCAGAAACACTTGCCATACTCTCCTGGCTTTCCTCCTATCTCACCAACTGTGCCTTTTCAGTTTCCTTTGTTGGAGCTTCCTCTTCTTCCCAAGCTCTAAATATTGTGTAGTATCCCAAGGCTCAGCTCTTCGATCCTTTTTCTATCAACATCAAATCCCTATGTGAGTGCATTCAATCTTGCGGCTTTAAGTATTATCTATGCAATCATTATTCTTCAATTTATCTCTAGCTAAACCTCTTCTAACTACAGACGGTTCCTGACCTATGATGGTTCGACTTACCATTCTTCAACTTTACAACGGTGTGAAAGCAAAGCATTCAATAGAAACCATATTTCAAACTTTGAGTGTTGATCTTTGTCCAGGTTAGCAATATGCAGTATTATACTCTCTTGTGATTCTGGACAGCAGTGGCTAGACGCAGCTTCCAGTCAGTCAGCCACACGACCATGAGGGTAAACAACCAATATTCTACAGTGTGTTCATTGTGTTAGGTGATTTTTGCCCAACTGTAAACTAATACAAGTGCTCTCAGCATGTTTAAGGTAGGTCAAGCTAAGCTACAATGTTCGGTAGCTTAGGTGTATTAAATACATTTTCAACTTATGATATTTTCAATTTACAATGGGCTTATCGGGATGTAATCCCATCACAAGTTGAGGAGCATCTGCAGTATATGCAAGTGCCTACTTAACATTTCCACTTAGATGTATAGAAAATAAGCATTTCAACTTATCTAAATTAAAATCCTGATTTCCTGCCCCTTACTTGCTCTTAAATCTACTTCTGTTTCTATAATACCATACACCCAATTGCTTGGGCTAAAAACCTAGAAGTCATCCTTGAGTGCTGCCCTACCCCCAACACCCTATCCATAAGTCAGTCCTATCAGTTCTTCACAATACATTCAAATTTGACCATATTACTTCCTCTGTTGCCATCTATGATTATCATCATTACTCTCCTATATTATAACTGTCTCCTAAGCAATTTCCCACTTCCATTATCACCCCCACTCCCCACTCCTTTCCCTTGTCTGTTTTCCTCAGTGCAGCCAGAGTGCTGGAGCCAAGATGCAAATCCATCTGTCCAGTTTCAAAGCCTAGGCTCCTAATGACTATACCCTACTGCTTCTCATTAGGATGACCAAGAGAACAAAAGTAGGAATTCACTTTATATCTTTACTGAATTAAATAGGTTGGCCTTGTATTTCAACATCTTTTTTTTTTTAATCTGGAATAGCCAAAATGGTCATGAGTCATAAACTCAATTCAGATATTCAGCAGAGTACAAAACAAAATTACCAAATGCTTCCACTATTCTTTCTGATTCTCAGGATCAGCAAGTGGGGTCTAAAAATCAGTGGCTCTCAGGGAACCCAGAACATGTTAACACTCAACAAAGAGAACCCTTATCCTATCCTGCATCTGCCACTAGAATCAAGACTCTAAGAGAAGGCCCTTTAAGAGAGGGTCCACCATGACCCCCAGGCTGGATTGGGTATCTATCTTCTGTATCTACTGTGCTTTATGTATTTACTTGTTGGTATTTTAATAAGAACTAAGCCTGATTCATCCCGATTTTTGTTTGTTTGTTTTTTATTTTATTGGGGAACAGCCATGGTCATTGGTTACACTTTGCTTTCATGCTACAATGGCATAGTTGACACTTTTAACGAGCGCACAGCTCACAGTAGCCCATGCAGGGATCGAACTGGCAACCTTGGTGTTATCAGCAACATGCTCTAACCAACTGAGCTAACGGGTCACCTCATCCCCAGTTCTTACACCAAGTACTGACACATCTTAGGTACTACAAAACAAACAAACAAAAAAAAACACACAAAAAAGTTTACTGAATAAATTTTAAAAGTTATTTGGAATAATTTTCTCACTGGTTGTTACTGGGAAAATAGGCAGGGTACATGAGCTACATGTTGAGCCAGCAGCAAGATGGGGAGAGAGGTCTTTGGCACTTCTGAGAAAATGGTAGCGTGAACACAAGGAGGTAGAAGCGACCTCCCCAAACACACACATCATTCTGGCAAGCCCTATTTGGCATGAGATCCTCTGTTCTAGGAAAACTCCCTTAGGGTATGTTTCCCAGGTCCTTAACTTCCATTTGATATCTCTGTTTCAGTTAATGGACATGTTCTTCCTGACAGGGCAGCCAGCAGTATGCTATATAAAAATACAAAAGAAACAGAACAGCTTCTGCCCTCATGATGCAGGAAGGGAGTTTAGACAGAAATGAAAATTAACAATATAAGCATATCCCTTAAGGGAGGGTTATAAGACTTACGGGGTAAACAGTACAATATAATACAGACTTAAAGGTCTCGAACAATTTTATTGAGGCAGTGATCTGCGTTGTTTGGAGGAGTTAGAGTAAGGGTTCTGGAGAAGGTACTGGAGATAGATTTTGAAGAATAGGTAGGAAGACAGGATACTGAAGATGTTTTATCCCAAGACTGATCCCCTTGGGGAAGGGGCAGTGTTTTACTTGTCTCTGAATTTTCACCCTTTAGCACAAAGCAAGTGTTTAATAAATATTTAATGAAATAATTAATTGAATTAATGAATAAGTTAATGAATAAATTAATGACTGAAAAGCCTGTACTTAAGTCGAAACCATAAACAATTCTGTTTATGAAAACTATTTACTGAAAAGGTTTTTATTTACCCAAAACCCAAATAAAAACTGAAAAAGGAACATACACCGTTCTGTTTCTCTATCATTTTCTCTAGAACACAGAAAGTGAACTTAGAACCATGGAACATAAGAGGTGGAAAAGGCCTTAGGATCTCATTTAGTCCAAGCTCTCACCTTCGAGATGGGAACCACTAGATAGCAGACGATCCACAATTACTAAGATTCTAGGAGGTACTATAGTGTATTAGAAAAAAGTGGATTTTGAACAATTGAGACAAGTCTGAAACATTTAAAAATTTTTTTTTTAAATTCTGCTCTTTACATAAATGTTTCCACCCACGATACTACAATAAAGCTAAGGCATGGGATTATTCCTTTGAACTTGGTTCTTGAGCTGATGAAAAAGGAAAGCTACAATCTAACATTTAAAATATAGACAATATATATTTGTGGCTTACCTCCATTCAATGGCATTCTCCAGAGACTTGAAGGTTTTAGGACGACCACGTAAGAAATTCTGCATGCTATTAAGAGCATCCATGGCTGTACCTAGATGTTAAACAAAAATTTTAACTACAGCACTTAACATATTCTGAGCATTTACACTTACTGGGTCAACTATATACATCTGCCCTCAATGAAAGCAGAATTCAGTGATGCTTGGGGAAAAAAAGATGCAGTTTAAGAAAATTCAGTACATCAAGACTGATGTGATAGCCAGGTTCCAAGATGGCCTCCAGTGATTTTTGCTTCCTGGTATTCACCCTCTCGTGTAGTCCCCCCACAATGAATAGGGCTGACTTGTATAAGCAACAGAGTGACTTCTGAGATTGGGTCATAAAAGACATGGCAGCTTATTTTTTTAATGTTAAGTAAAATTATGGGGCATACGTGCAATTAAAATATATGCAACTATAAAGATGTTTATGAAGAGTTTCTGATGACATGGAGAATGATTATATAATGTGGAGTGTAGGTGAAATGGGTAAAAGTGTCAAAAGGTACGAACTCCCAGTTATAATGTCCTAGGGATGTAATGTACAGCTTGGTGACTATAGTTAATAATACTGTACTACATATTTGAAAGTTGTTAAGAGAGTGGATCTTAAAGTTCTCATCACAAAAAAATTGTAACTAAGTGTGGTGATAGATATTAACTAGACATATTGTGGTGATCATTTTGCAATGTATACATATATCAAATCATTATACTGTACACCTGAAAACTAATACAAAGTTATATATCCATTATATCTCAACTAAAAAAATACCTGGAGTGCTTTTGCCACAAAATAACATGAAACAAAGATAAAAAAGACAGAGGGACATACTTCAAGATGAGTGAAATCAACAATATATTAAAACACAGTAACAATAATCAACCAAAGATGGCTCTTATAAGTCAAAAATTTAGATTTGGTTAGCACTAAGAAAACTTACCTTCCACAACATCAATCATGCACAGACCTAAGAGGCTTGGCACCAGGTTGGATGATGCTGTGTGGACTGCAATAGCACCGCCCATGCTATGTCCAATCAGCATAATTGGAGGAGGGAGGTCCCCATACATGGCTTCAACCACATTGCCAACATCTCTGCAAAGAGAAGGAAAAAAAGCTGGAAATGCTCTCTGACAAACACTGTAAAACTAGTTTTCTTTCCTAACTCCTTCCTTTGATCTGTACCTAACAGTCCTAGGAGTATAAAAGTCTACTAGGCCATCTTGCAAATGTATCTATGTAAAACTCCTAGCATGCACCCAGTATCTATACACGTAGCCAGCCATACATCTAGCTAGCTCTTCTGATAAATGCCAGTTTAAGGACTAAGAACCCAAAATTTCTGACTTTCCTTTATCACACTTTCACTGTTCCACACATTTACATAAACATATGCCTTTATTTTAATTTAAGCCTAAGCTTGAAACCTAGACAATTCATTTAACTGCTCTATGCCTCAGTTTCCCCATCTACAAAACAGGAAAACAACTTTATTAAGCATTATAATGTAGTGAAGTTTGGAGTCACGAGAATTATAGCCCCAGTTTATTTTTTACTATGTGGAACTTGGATTAGTCATTTAAACTCTCAGAATGCCAACATCTGCAAAATGAAATTAAGAATATCATTTACTATTCTGGATTGCTGTGAGGCTTAACTGAGACATCAGTGAATATGAAAATACTTTGAAAAGGGTAAAGAGCTATACAAATGTTATTATTTACAATTTGTCATGTAAAGTTGTTTGAAGCACGAACATAAATGTAAGCATAATGTTCTAAGAAACTAGATAGATCATTTTTATTGGCTTCTATCCTAGTCTGTAATTATCAGTGGATCTGTTTAACAAAGTCAGACCTTAAAGCTTTGAAAATGAGAACTGAAGTAGGAACTTTGAGTTTTATTTGCATATAGGCCTTCTTTGGTATAGCAATAGGTAAGTATGGTTGGTGTATTTCTAGAGACCACTGACTCTGCTGTCTTTTTTTGGGAATGGCTGAGTCAGTCAGCCTCGAAAGACAGCTCTGGCTTGCTGAGTGTCACTACATACTTCAAGCACTCACAGTGTTAGCCAAATATAGCAGGTGTAGATGTAGAAACACAGCCTTTCAAATATGGTCTCCAAAATATTCAGAATAGCAAATGTTATTATTTCTGCAGAAACTAATCTTAAAAACCTCACACAATTACAGATGTGAACAGGGAAGTTGCAGCATTTGCAGATAATCTGAATGGGAGATAAGGAGGCCACCCCATTTTATGTGAAAACAAATAATAGTTTAATATTCCTTTGGAGTTAAATTTAAGGCTAAAATTTTGGGTAACAGAGATGAGTAAAATTAAAGGGTGCTACAGAAGAGTATCTAAATCTAGGTCTCCTTAAAAATACTAAGTTGGAGGGGTTCTACGGTATCTGCTTTATGCATGAAGGTGCATAGGGTCTGACACAAACCAACTTAATATTGTGTCTTAGCTTAGGAAAGGTATATTTCATCCAGGTAAAAGTTGGTTATGATCAATCGCTTGATCATCTATTTTTAGAAGAAATGTATTCTTATTAAAGTTAGTCAAAGTATTCAGTCACCAGGATTACTGCCTTACTTGAGACATGTCCTGAAATTCCAGAGAAATCAAATAAAGATGAAGGAGCAGGGATTAACTACAAATCTAGTCTATAACTGGAGGTACTGCTCAATTTTGGTAGTTGTTTTTTAAGGGGATTCTGTCATACTCATTAATATTAGGCTTATTTCTTGAGAAGCATTATAGCATATCACAGACATAACAGAAAAAGGAATATCAGAGTAACCTGAGCTAAAATCTTCGCTCTTCTACTTTCAGTGGCATTGCATCTTATGTGTAGGTTCTGAAGTAGATATTTAAGGAAAAGACCTTGCTCTCAGTACTATTTGAAAACCCCACTAATAGCCCATTAAGTATGCCCATTTGGAGATTTTTGTTTCACAGAGTGATTAAATTCATATAATTCAATTAATTCATATTAATGTTTTATTGCTTCGACTATTTCAGCAAGAATCCAACTTGTTGGGTCTTCTGATTCTTGATAATCACCTTCATCTGGTGTAGATGGTTTTAACCATTTATTTTCTTTTTAACTTTTTTTTTTTTTTTAAGATTTTTATTGGGGAATTGGGGGGATGGGAACAGTGCTGGGGAATTGGGGGCAGGGGAACAGACAAGTTGCTGTCGTTTTGTTCTTCAATCTAGTTGTGGAGGACGCCGCTTCACTGGCTCAAGTTGGCACCATCATTGCGCTCCTCTCCGGCGAGGCAGATCAGTCGCCGGCTTCTGGACGGCCGCTCACTGCGGCTGCTGGCCGCTCACGCTGGCTGCTGGCTACATACGGCAGCCCATGGCAACCCACTGCCACAGGGAGTGCAGCCTAGCCGTCGCCGGCGACTCACGGCAGCCCAGCTCCAGGTTGAGCTGTCGTTCAGCATCTTAGCTGCGGAGGGCAGTGTCACTGGCCCTCACACGTGGGATCCAAACCGGGGCCTTCTGGCATCCCAAGCGAGTTCCCAACCATCGCGCCACTCGGCCGGCCCTCTTTTTAACTTTTTTTATGCCAGTTATCAACTTATTGTCTCTCAGCTCCAACTCACCCTTCATTGCATGTTTTGCAAAATTGGATTTGAGGCCTTTAAATATTTTTCCTTCGCCAGCTGGCATGATGTTAAACTATATCAGTAGAGGACAAAGGAGAGATGTTGCAGAAAGAGAGGGTTTTATTCCTGATTCATGTTTACTCCACAGGCTCCTTGCACTTCTTTTTTTTTTTTAAGATTTTATTGGGGAATTGGGGAAGGGGAACATCCAAGTTGTTGTCCTTCAATCTTAGTTGTGGAGGGCGCAGCTAGCTCAGCTCCAAGTCCAGTCGCCATTCATCCACCAGTCAGCAGCTCGTGGCCACTCAGCTTAAGGTGCCGTGTTCAATCTTAGTTGCAGGTGGGCATAGCCCACCATCCCATGCAGGAGTGGAACCGGAAACTTTGTTGCTAAGAGTGCATGCTCTAACCACTGAGCCATCCTGCGACCTGTTGGCAGCTCAGCTTGGGTGCAGCTCACTGGTCCATGTGGGAATCGAACCGGCAACTCTGTTGCTCAGCGCTCACGCTCTTAGTCAACTGAGCCACTTAGCCTGCCCGTCCTTGCACTTCTTTAGCATCCAGCACCTGCACCACACACAGCTTCCCCACTGCCCAACTTCTCCAACACTCTATCCTCCCATCCCCAATGTTTTTCTTTCCTAGCTTTATTGAGATATAATTGATATACAAAAAATGGTACATAATTAATATACACAATTTGGTAAGTTTGGCTATATACACTCGTATTAACATCACAATCAAGGATTACCTTGATCACATCCATCGTCTCCCAAAATTTCCTTGTCACTTTTGTGTGTGTGTGTGTGTGCATGTTTGTGTGTGGGTGTGTATGGCAAAAACACTTAACATAAGATTTAATCTCTTAAAATTTTAAGAACACAGTATCTTATTGTTAAGATAGGCACCATGTATAGCAGATCTCTGGAACCACCCAAAATTTTTGTTGGAGTGCCTCTGGTGAGATACCGCCCTGTGAACAGCTTCCCTGGCACCCCAGAGGGCAGGTTTATGGTAAGCTCTACCAACATGGCATCAAAGTGACTTCTCTGCCTTTGTTCAGTAAGCCACAGTCAGTCGTGAGCTCTCCAACAAGGTCTAGGTCAGAAACTCAAACCATATGTCTTCTATCTCAGCCTGAGGGCATACTGGCTGCTTCTTACATCTGCTATCCCTATATTCTTTTTTTTCTTTCTTTTTGAATTTTCCCCAGCTTTACTGAGGTATAATTGATAAAAATTGTAATATATTTAAGTGTACAATGTGATAATTTGACAGATGTGTAAATTGTGAAATGATTCCCACAATCAAGTTAATTAACCCTATATTCTTTAGCATTCTCTTTACTTCTTACTTGCCAATTTTTTATTACTCCAATCTCATGTTATAGTTAATAAAACTTTCCTTGTGGTATCTCTCTCCTGTTTGTCCCAGACTAATACATTATTAGACAATGTTTCCTTAAGGCCCTCAATTAATTCTTTAATTTCCTCTAGAATGTCAGCTAAGCCATCATCACCCTTTGTCTGGTTGCCTAGCCACTTAAATGATGTATTTCATTTTTTTATCAACAGTCAAGAAACCCTTTAAGTTTTTAAAAGTCATTCATAAATCTTCCTATAGGTATCACTAACATGATTGATTATTTCAGGCTTTATTGTTCTCACATTACAAAGGCATTAGGGACAACTGAGGGAACAGGTTCTTGGCTCCCTTTCCATGGTTTCTAAAGCAGATGTTGACTGAGTGGAATGGTATTCATACATTATATATTGCTATTTTCTTTCTCTCTCTCTTTCTCACTCTCTCTGCAAAGCACTATAGCTGAATGATCACAATTCTGGTCTATTAATTGCATGACCTCACATAAGTTATTCAAATATCTGAGCTAGTTTCCTCAATGACAAAAAAAGTGATAATATTTACACTACAGAGCTAATAAGGTAGATAAATTAAAATAAATAACACATTATTTATTTGTAATGTTTACTTTACACTGAATAAAACCTGGCAGATAGAGGGGACACAAATAGCACCTGCTATAACAAAATTATAGCCACATGAGTTTCGGCTCTAAAGGAAAAAGAGTTTACTCTTGGGTTAAAGCTGCTCAAGTAAGAAAGGATAAGATATTTTTGGCCAGGGCCGGTTGTGTGGCGTGTTGGTTGACAGCTGGCTTGGGACGCCAGCTCTGAGCAGCAGGGCCACGGTCTGGATCCCACATGAGGGCCAGTGACACTGCCCTCCACAGCTAAGATGGTGAACAACAGCTCAGCCTGGAGCTGGGCTGCCATGAGTTGCCAGTGACGGCGTAGGCTGCAGTGGGGCTGCAGTGGGCTGCTGTGAGCTACCGTGAGTGGCTGGCAGCCAGCGTGAGTGGCCGGCAGCTGGCATGAGCTGCCGTGAGCCGCTGTGAGCGGCCGTTCAGTGGCCGGTGACCGATTGCCTCACCTGGGAAGAGTGCAATGATAATACCAACATGGGCCAGTGAAGCGACGTCCTCCACAACTAGACTGAAGAACGAAAGGACAGCAACTTGTCTGTTCTCCTTCCCCGATTCTCCAACGCTGTTCCCCTCCCACAAGTCCCCAATTAAAAAAAAAAAAAAGATATTTTTGGCCCAAGTTGGTCAAACACTTGAGAAGATATGTACATGAGACAGCATGTATTAAAGCAGGGTGGTGAGAAGAAACCTACTTACAATATAGGACAGAGGTTCCCAAACACCACAGACTGGCTGTATCAGATTCCTTTATAGACCTTTATCAAAATATAAATTCCCAGATCTCACTGGTAGAAGCACTAATTCAGTAACTATGGGGTAGGGCCAAATCATCTGTATTATAATCACTTCTCAGGCGATTTTGATGAGTGACCAGGTTTGGGTTTGAGAGCTACTGTACACATTCATCTTTTACTTTGAGGCCCAGGGTGTAATTACTTATTTTTTAATACCCTGTTTCTGTCTTACTCTGAAGTTGGACAAAGAATGTGGGCAAGATACCTTAAGAACATCGCACAGGGCCTCTTGTATACAACTACTTTTCCAAGCATGGTTCCCTAATAGATATTCAGATGCTGTTCAACAATGTCAACAAAAGAAAGCTTTTCAAAAGACAACACAAAGTGAACTGTGCCTCAAATAATTTTCAAGCGCTTTATGTATGACCATCACATTGAATATACCAAGAAAGATAGATGTTTCTTTCAAGATTAAATAGTAAGGAGATACCAGGTACAGAGTAAAAATAACAGAAAATATACTAAGTATTGTCCAACAATATCACCAGGAGAGTGATAAAGGATACTACTATAGTAATGGAAGCCAGGTGATGTATAAACAATATTAGATTACTTACTTTGCCATTGTTTCTGCAGACAGGTCTTCAGAATTCTTGACTTTTGTTTCACCTAAAAAGAAAATATTTTAAAAATAAAATTCCCAAGGATAGGAAGTACAAAAGCAAGAGTATTCTCTTTCAAAAATCTCACCTTTGGACAATGAAATGGGAACTTTATAACTGCATACGGTGGGCTTAGCAAGGATTTTCTATGTTATGGACACATCTTTACAGCTGAATACCATAAGGACAATAATTACAGTAGCCTAACAAAGACTTATTTACAAATATACCACCAACATCAGAATTTAGTTACATTAAAGGACATTTTCTTAGCTAAACTACAAATATATATATATATATATATATATATATATATATATATGTATATATATATATATATATATATGGTGTGTGTTTATAAAATATTTATAAAAACTGTAAGCTAGGACTTCCCTCAAAGGTGTCAAATGGAACAGACTAGGTTATTTTACAGCCACACTAAAATTTGTAATATTTAACGCTATGCAAAGGGCTTGGCAAATATGTCATTCAGTCAGAACTAATTAAGAACATCACTCACCATGACCTCGCAGATCCAAAGCCACAATCCTACACTGAACCCTACTAATGATGGCTGCCTAGAAGGAAAAGGAAAAGTAGTAAGATACATCTGGGTTAGCAAATCTTTCCCCATTACCAATAATAACTTTGTTGAATGAACTTTTATCAGAATTCAAGGATCTCAAGACAATCAAAAGACTTTCCACTTTTAAGCAAAAATTAAAAAATGATGATTCTCTGCTTTTTTGGTACAGATTCTGGTTCTATCCCAAGTTCAAAATATTGCTTTCTCCACCTAAATCCCTCTTTAAACTTTAACTCTTCCTAGCTTTTCATGCAACACAGAGTCAGCACCTCTAAGCAATGACCTTGTGTGTTCAATTAATGATGATTTTCATCGACATTCCTTGGTTATCTTTTCCATACTCTGGAAGGGAAATTGCCTTAGGTAAGGACCATGAGTTAGTATCTTGGCTCAGGATATCACACAAATGTAACAACATTCAGATCATGAAATAACCCCGAAAGCAGTACAAATCATGAAATCTACCAACGATTCAGTTAAGATAGATGCAGGTATACACAAAAGCTTGTATCTCAGTTAAATAAAAATATACTGAAAAACAAATCATAATATCATGGGGAGGTACAATATTAGAGGTTTAAACAAACCTGAAATAATTGGGGATCTTCTTCCTCAAATGAACTAGATTCTTTTGACAATAATACATCACAACTAGTGTTAGTAAACATCATCAACATTTAACTTTTAAGAATAAAACAGGAGACCTCTCTAGCCTAACCCTCACATTTTATGAATGAAGAAACTAAGGCAAGAGAAAGAAAATTATTTGTTCATGGTCATATAACAAATTAGTAGTAAACACAGAACCAGAATCAAGGTAAGTTACCAATGTAATAGTCAATGTGTAACACAAATCACATTTCTTAAATCACATTTTCCCCTTTATTTTTAAGTGATTAAATATATCTTGAATATGTCATAAAAATGTTGAAAATATAACAAGTTAATAAGAAAGAGAAGAGAAAAAAGCCCTTTGATTTGCTATCCAAATGTAGTCCTTTGTCATCTGTTTGGGTATTTCCTATGATCTCCACCCTCCTCCCTCAGCTTGAGATATTATTGACATATATGTAAGTTTAAGGTGTACAATGTGATGATTTGATTACGTGTATACTGCAAAATGATTACTACAATAAGGTTGGTTAATAACTCCATCCCTCACATAACTACCATGTGTGTGTATGTGTTTGGTGAAAACATTTAAAATCTACTCTCTTAACTTTCAAGTATATAAGACAGTATAATTCATTATTGTCGCCATGCTATACATTAGATCCCCAGAACTTAATCATCTTATAGATGGGAGTTTGTACCCTTTGACCAACATTTTCCCATTTCCTCCACCTCCCAGCCCTTCACCACCACCATTCTAATCTCTATTTCTATGAATTCAGCTTTTTTAGATTCTGCATATAAGTGAGAACATAGTATTTGTCTTTCTCTGACTTATTTCACCTAGCATAATGTCCTCATGGTCCTCATGTTGTTGCAAAAGGCAGGATTCCCTTCATTTTTATGACTGAATAATATCCACATGCATGTGTGCATGCGTGTATCACATTTTCTCTATCCATTCATCCACTGATGGGTGCTCAGGTTGTTTCCATGTCTTGGCTATTATGAATAATAGTGTTATGAACATGAGGGTACAGATATCACTTCAAAACAGTGTTTTTATTTCCTTCAGATATATATCCAAAAGTGGGATTGCTGGATCATATGGTAGTTCTATTTTTAACTTTTTGAGGAAGCTGCATGCTATTTTCCATAGTGGCTGCACCAATTTACATTCCCGTCAACAGTGCACAAGGGTTCCCTTTTATTTCTACAGCCTCACCAACACTTGTCTCTTGTCTTTTTGATAATAGCCATTCTCACAGTTGTGAGGTGATCTCTCATGTGGTTTTGATTTGCATTTTCCTGATGATTAGTAATGTCAAGCATCTTTTCTTGCAACTGTTGGCTATTTGCATGTCTTCTTTGAAAAAATGTCTATTCAAGTCTTTTTTCTTTATTTTTTTTTTGCTATTAAGTTGTATGAATTCCTTGCATGTTTTGAATATTAACCCTTTGTCAGATAGATGGTTTACAAATATTTTCTCCCATTCTGTAGGTTGAATTTTCATTTTGCCTGTTTTATTTTGCTTTAAAGCTGTGCAGGAACTTTTTAGTTTGATGTAGTCCCACTTGTTTATTTTTGTTTTTGTTGCTTGTGCTTTTGGTGTCATATCCAAAAAATCATTGCCAAAACCAATGCCAAGGGGCTTTTACCTGTTTTCTTCCAGTAGTTTTACAGATTCAGGTCTTACATTTAAGTCTTTAACAGATTTCAAGTTAATCCTGGTGAGTGGTGTAAGATAGGGGTCCAATTTCATTTTTCTGAATATGATTATCCACTTTTCCCAACACCATTTTATTTAAGAGATTATTGTTTCCCTATTGAGACTTCTTGGCTCCTTTGTCAAATATTAGTTGATTGTGTATGCGTAGGTTTAGTCCTGAGGTCTTGATTCTGTTCACTTGGCCTATGTGCCTATTTTTATGCCAGTACCATATTGTTTTGATTACTAAAGCTTTGTAATAAAATTTGAAATTAGGAATTGTAATGCCTTTAGTTTTGTTCTTCTTTCTCAGAATTACTCTGGGTATCTGGGGTCTTCTGTTGTTCCACACAAATTTTAGGATTATTTTTTTTCTATTTCTATGAACAATGTCATTGGAATTTTGATAAGGATTGCACTGAATCTGTAGATGGCTTTGGATAGATAGTACAGATGTTTTAACAATTTTTTTTATTTTATTGGGGAACAGCCATGGTCATTGTTTATACATTGCTTTCATGCTACAATGGCATAGTTGACTCTTTTAGGGAGGGCGCAGCTCACAGTGGCCCATGCAGGGACTGAACTGGCAACCTTGGTGTTATCAGCACCATGCTCTAACCAACTGAACTAACCAGTCACCCCCTTAACAATATTAATTCATCTGACCCATGAACATAGGATATCTTTCCATTTATTTGTGTCTTCTTCAATTTCTTTCATCAATGTCTTATAATTTTCAGTGTACAGATCCTTTACCTCCTTGGTTAAATTTATTTCTAAGTATTTTATTTTTCTGATGCTATTGTAAATGGGATCATTTTCTTTATTTCTTTTTCAGTAGTTCATTGCTAGTATATTAAATCCTACTTTAAAAATCACCTAGAAAATCAAGTCTGTTTCTATTTCTATTACTCTATCTAATGAATACCTTTAAAAAGAACAATGGACTGAAATTTTACTATACATTGCTATTTGTTAAAGCTAATTTACAGGAATTATTTACTACATTATGGCGGTAATAAAGTCTTCAATGCCAAAAAACAAATCTGTATTTTGAAAATAAATTAAGTGACATAGTATCAAATCTGCTTGATTGCTGTACACACACACACACACACACACACAAAATGGTAAAACAAATCCACAAAATAGTAACAAAATACTATTGGGTTGTCGGAAAAGTCATGACGTATTTTTTTCTGTTTTCAGTTGCAAAAACGTGTCATGACTTTTCCGACAACCCAATAAATTTGAAGGCAGTAAAGTCAATTCCAGTTTTAACTTGAAACCAATAATTTACTATCTAATGTGCCTTTCTGAAAACACTGACAACATTAAAAAACAGATTTTTCATTCATTTATTTAACAAATCTTTCCAAACTACATCTGCTAAAAATCTGTCACCAATTCAGTAATGGGGTTACAATATGAAAAAGACAGGCAATATTCCTGCTTTCATAATGTTTATATTCTGTGTGGCAGAGGCAAACTGAAAACAATAAATGAGCAAAGCAAATTCAGAAAGTAGCATGTTTTAGAGATAATAAAAAAAAGTGTCAGAGCATGTCTTATGCTTGCCACTCCAGATCTTGCCTTAAACAGTACGGCTGCCACTTCTACAGTGGGTTGAGTGAAAAGCAGCTATTTAAGAACTAGACTTTTCCACTTTGTCAATAGAATTTGTAGTGTTAGCAATAACAGCAACAATAGTAGTAGCACTTAATATTTATTAAGTCTTACTATGTGTCAAGCACCAATCTAAGTGCTTCAACTGAATTATCTAACCTCCTCACAACTCTTATTTAGACATAATTTTCATCATGTTATAGGTGAGGACATTTCACAGGAGCTTAAGTAACTTGCCCAGGGCCAAACAGCTAATAAATGTGAAGCCTACATTAAAATCCAAGCAGTCTGGTTCCAGGTGATTCTCAACCCTGGCTGCACAACAGAATCACTTAAGGAGCTTTAGGAAATACTACTGCCCAGGCGCTAACCCGCCAGAAATTCTGATTTAAGTGATCTGGGGAGGGGCCAGGGTATCTATACATTTTAGAGTTCCCCAGGTGATTCTAACGTACAGCCAAAGTTTAGCCTATCCCTGGACTAGAGCATAAGAGACAACAATGGAAGTAAAATCTGGGTGGCAATAACATTTTTTTGTATCATTTTATTATCTCACCATGTTATCTACCTGAGAAGTAGGCTGGGAAAATATTAGCCCAGTTTTTGTAGCTGACCAAACAGGTTCTGAGACGTATATCAAGTATTAGTATAGGTGTGGAGAAATAGGTGTCCTCACAGACACATGATAGCCTCAAGTTTTGTAATTTTAGCTAATTTGATAAGTGAAAAGTGGTAATTTTTTATTTTACTTTGTATTTTCCTCATTAGTACTAAGGTAGACCCATTTTTATAAGTTTATGTATCCCCCTGTTACTTTTATACCTTTACATAGGTATTGTAAACTCATCTAAAGCAATGCTTGAGTCAAGCCCTTTATCAAGAACCACACATCTTTTGCTTATTCTCACAATCACCCTATTAACTAGGTAGTATTAAACTCATTTTATGGATTAAGAAACAAAAGCTTGATAGATTAAGCTGCTTAGAGATTCAAACCCCAGTCTGTTTGAGATGAAAGCTTCTTAAAAATTTTGCTGTTATT